CATCATCCCACCTGTCTGAGGAGGGGCTGGACATCCAGAAGGCTGCGTGTCCCTGGTCTTTGGCAGGGATGGATACAAGGAGGGAATAGGCCTTGGTGGCCTTCAGAAGAGTCTGTGGTTCACAACTGCCCCTCTTGAATGGCTGTATGAGGTGGGGACAGCCAGCACCTCAGAGCCCCAGGGCCCCTCGCTTTTGCAAAGGTTATGTTTTGGATTCTCCATCCAAACATGCCCCCAGATTTTTTTACCATCACACACCGGATAGGAGTCTGGCTATGGCCAAAGGGTGGGGGGCCTGAGCTTCCTTCCCAGCACTCTACCTCGACCCTTTGCTGCCCCCCACCTCCCCCTGGAGCCTGTCTAATCAGATCCAGGCCTGACCTCACCAGAGGTCCTGGACCAGGAAGAGAGTCCGCCTCCCCTCCCTGAGCGGCCCTAGATCTGGCTCTCAGGAGGCCCCTCCCCTTGGGTGATTTATAGAGGTGTCCAGGAACTGTTTCCTGCCTGTGTTCTGTTCCCTTCCAGTCCTGTGAATTGCTAAGCTCACTTTCTGCCCTCTGTCTCTCCCCACAACCTGGTCGCACCTCTGGTGGGGGCAGGGCGGGGCTGGGAGATTCCTTCCCAGATCGCTGTAGACAAAGGTGCCTTCTTCCTTTCTCCCCACTACTGCCAAGCAGGACTTTGTCCTCCCTGTCGCTTTCTCTGGCCCTCACACCTGGAAGACCATTGCCCATCACCCACCTCCCATCACCCAGCTTGAAGTGAGAGACCCAAAACTGTCCCCACCAGGCCAACAGATATCCACAGGAGTGTAAAGCATCAAGAGCCAAAGTGACAGCACCACTGTCAGGTGTACCAGCCACAGACACAATACCACCAGCACCAGACATAAATACTCAGTGCTAACACACTAGCTGGTCTGTACTGTCATCAGCAACACAGTGGCCTGCAGGGTGACTCGTTCAGATCTCAGGGTGCCCTGACGTCCAGCCCTCAGCCCTACTTCCTCATGTTTGCCCAGGGACCCTCTCCCTAGAGAGACATAATGAGGGACAGTCCACCCAGCTCTGTGGCTTCCTGGCACAAGCCAGGACATAAACACACTTGTGAATCAAACATGTTCCACCCTGAGGGGGCTGAAGTGGCCCCAACATCCCTTTTCCTCAAACTTCCTAAGGAAAAAAATTGTGTGCCAGCCCAGGCAACATAGGGAGACCCTATCACTATAAGAAATACAAAAATTGGCCAGGCGCAGTAGCTCATGCCTGAAATCCCAGCACTTTGGGAGGCCAAGGCGGGCGGATCACGAGGTCAGGAGTTTGAGACCAGCCTGACTAACATGGTGAAAGCCCGTCTCTACTAAAAATACAAAAATTAGCTGGGCATGATGGTGTGCACCTGTAGTACCAGCTACTCGGGAGGCTGAGGCAGGAGAGTCGCTTGAGCCTGGGAGGCGGAGTTTGCGGTGAGCCAAGATCATGCCATTGCACTCCAGCCTGGGTAACAGAGCAAGATTCCATCTCAAAAAGAAAAAAAAAATTTTTTTAATTAGCTGGGCGTGGTGGTATGCACCTGTGGTCCCAGCTCCTCAGGAGGCTGAGGTGGGAGGATTACCTGAGCCTGGGAGGTCAAGGCTGCAGTGAGCTAGGATCACACCACTGCACATCAGCTTGGGTGACAGTGTGAGATCCTGTCTCAAAAGGAAAAAACAGAAAAAAATACTATTGCTTATGAACCAGATGTACGTGGAAGATTTTAGGAGACTCTAGCTAAGCTGAGTTTGTTGGCCCAGAGATTGTGGATCCTGTTCATGAAGACAAATGGGGAGGCAGGGCTGGAGGGGCCCTGAAGAGTGGCTTGTCCACTCCCTTCATTTGTGGCTGAGAGGACGCTGCCTGCCCAGGGTCTCACAGAAATCTTGGGACGCCTAAGGAATATGCAGGACTGACCAAAAAGCTGAGAGAGGGTATAAGGAAGGCAGGGAAGGAGGAGCCTCAGATGAAGAGGACCACACCCTCCTCTTGCACCTGCCCTTCCTGGACCACACCTATGCAGCCAGCTGGACTCCCAGGGGTGGGGGTAAAGAGCCTTCCCTAGAGCTCATTACTTTTCCTCCACACAGTGAGAAGAAGCTAGTCCAACATGCAGTCCACTCTGTGGTTACCTGGCTTTGGAGAGTGAGAAACTTGTTGCAGAACTAAGGGACATCCCAGCAGAGAGCCTAGGCCTCAGTTTCCCCTTCCTAAAATAAAGAGATTAGCTTCAGATTCATGGTTTTCAATTACTCTTAAAGGCAAAACTACCCTTCTTTTTTTTTTTTTTTTTTGAGACAGAGTCTCACTCTGTCACCCAGGCTGGAGTGCCGTGGCCGGATCTCAGCTCACTGCAAGCTCCGCCTCCCGGGTTTACGGCGGAGAGGTTTACTGCCTCAGCCTCCCGAGTAGCTGGGACTGCAGGCACCTGCCACCTCGCCCGGCTAGTTTTTTGTACTTTTTAGTAGAGACAGGTTTCACTTTTTAGTAGAGACAGTGTTAGCCAGGATGGTCTTGATCTCCTGACCTCGTGATCCGCCCGTCTCGGCCTCCCAAAGTGCTGGGATTGCAGGCTTGGGCCACTGCGCCCAGCCTAAAGCTACCCTTCAAATTAAATGTTTAGCAGAACTGTAACCAAGTAAAGCTGATGGAAAGGTACAGCAAGGTGCTGCTCTGATGGATGGGAAATGTGAGCAGGAGGTGGACTTAACTGCATCCAGGCGGCCTCAGGGGACCCGTTGGAGTCAGTCGCACTGTACACATTGAAGGATATCAGACTGGCTCCATACCTGTGACCCTTCCAGCTCTAGCGCCATGTCCAACTGTGCTGTGGCTGCTTAGTGCTGGGGGGAGGAGGAGGGAGCCAGGCAGTGGAAGCCAGACTTTCTCCATCCCCAGCACCCTGATAAGAAGCAGCCCTTGCCCTTGTATATTTCCTCAGGCCAGCTTCTAGCACTGGGTGCCTCCAGGGAGCCCAGAATGGGGCTAGAAGCACAAAAGGATTCGTTCCTTAATGAGGAGGCATCTGTAGTCAGCAGAGCCATTAGTCCCCACCCCAGGTCCCTGGGGGACTGCGAGCGCCTCTCCAGCTGGAGTGAAGAGGAGGCAGGCAGCTCCCCATCTTCGAAGGAGCAGGGCCTGGGGGACGTAGACAGCTGACCTGGGAGCCTGGATGCCCTCTCCACTCCCTGGGCTCATGGCACCCAGTTGCCTTCCTGGAGGTGGAGGGCTAGAGGCAGTAGAGGGGCTCCAGCAGCACCTCGGCCCCCTCCCCCAAGACCCTGGGCTGACCTCCCTTGGCCAAACACAGCCTTTGGCCTGAGACCAGGAAGGCTGACCTCCCAGTGCTCCCTGGGGATCCTCTCACCAAGCCTGATGGGAGCACCAGCTGGGACACTTACCCCCCACCTCCCACCCCCAGGGCCCCAAGGTACTGTTTATAAGGGCTGCACCTACGTGGGGATGTGTGTGATTGATTACCTGCACTGAACCAGAGGTACACACCCGCCGCAGCAGTGGACCGATTCCTGTCCAGACGTGGACACTCAGACCACATACACGGAGACACAGCCCTGCACACATGTACAAAGAGGCGCACATACCCATCAGCCACACTCCCAGGAGGCCCTCAAAGACGAGGAAGCAGGGCGGGGGATTTTTTATGCATGTTTATATTTAATGAACCACATGCAAATGAGATGGAGAACACGCCACAAAGGAGCCAGCCCCCAGAGACTCTGGGTGGAAGGGTACAAAGGCTCGCCTCTTGGGCCACCCTGGAGGCCAGATCAGGCTGGTGGATTGAGGGGGCCTGAGATGGGGCATGGGGGCCACGGGGAGGGTGGCCTTCCCCCACCAGGGAGTCAGGAGCAGGAGCCAGGATGAGCTCCAGTGTCCCTGCTGCTGTGGGGGAGGGCTTCCTCTGGGAGGGGAGCAACTGTCCCAGTTGATGGAGTGCCTGAGACGAGGGGCTGCCTGCCTGGACAGATGGTGTACCGCCTTCCCGCACTTGAAGCAAAGTGGATTTTAATGAAATCGCAGCCCTGGTGCTGAAGCTGGGAACCCGAGTGGGAGGGGCTCCTTCCCCAGGCATTACAGGGTGGGGTCTGGGCATGGGTGGAAACGGGGGTGGGCAGGAACACTTAACCAGCCTGTCACTGGGAGGGGAGGGTGCACCGCAGCCCCTCTGCACTGATGATCTCTGCAGACCAGAGTTCAAGCGGTTAGTTCAGATCCCCAAAAGGTGGGGAGGGGTCCCTGAATATTTATGACACATTGAAATGTAGATTGGTAGGTCTGACAGTCTTCTGAGAGGCTTGTCACCTTGGATGGATGCAACACCCTCTTGGGGTGCATCAAGAGACTGCAGATGAACTGGGGGGTGGGAGGAGTAGGAGGAGGAGGAGGGACCAAAAAAAAGCTCCCGGGCCTGGTAACCAGGGCCTGATGACCAGTGTCCTTGCTGGGCAACATTGGACCAGTTGCTTCCCTTGTCTGAGCCTCAGCTTCCAATTCTATAAAATGTGAAGCACTGAGGATCTGAGCCCTTGCCTGCCTTAGGGAGAGTTTATGAAAATGAATCTGAATGCTGAAAAAGTGGGGTGTGGGGCTTAGGAGCAGGGCTTTGATTGGCCTTCATGGGTCAGTTTTGGGGGACCAAGGTCTCCAAGGGAAGTCCGAACAGCCCAGGATTTCCTTATTAGAGGTTTGTTACCCAGAAGTTTGCTCAGACTTTTTACAAAGTATCCCAGCCCAGCCTATACCACCTGTTAGGGGAGATGTTTCCTAGCTATTGGAGGCTGGAGTAAGTGCTGATGGGCCCCCCAAGCTATCGCTCTTGCAGGAAAACTCCTGCCCCTCGATGGAGTGGGCTCCAGGTCTCCGTGCCTGTGACTCCACTGCAGCCCCATTCTCCCCTCCCCTCTGCCCTCAGCAGCGCACCGCACTCATACACTTCTCTTCCCCCAGCCATGTCGGACTTCCATGTGCATCCCCAGGCCACCGTGGGCGAGGAGGGTGGTGTGGCCCGCTTCCAGTGCCAAATCCATGGGCTTCCCGAACCTCTGATCACGTGGGAGAAGAACAGAGTCCCAATTGACACGGACAATGAGAGGTGAGTCACGTGTGGGAAAGACAGAGGGAGGACAAAGAGTTGGCCAGTGACTCTGGCCTTAGAGAAGGACTGCCCGCGGCTCTGGGAGCTGCAGTTGATGCCCACAGGTGCCTGAGACAGTGGTGTTTCTGCAACCGCAGTTTAGACTGCGTATCCACATGATTTGCTGGGCCCAGATTCTAGGCTCATGGATGTGTCTGAGGATTGTGTGTGATCGTTGTCAAGGCTGGAATTGAGGGTATATCCACCTTCGAAAGTCCCAGTGTGAGTCTGATGATGTTGGGACGGTGCAGTGCTTGGGGCCTGGGCTGTGTCTTGGATGCCCAGAGTCTTTGTGGCTGATTATATCAATGGCTGTGCTGGTGGCCAACTGTGTCCCTCCCCTCAACAGGTACACACTGCTGCCCAAGGGGGTCCTGCAGATCACAGGACTTCGAGCTGAGGACAGTGGCATTTTCCACTGCGTGGCCTCAAACATCGCCAGTATCCGGATCAGCCACGGGGCCAGGCTCACCGTGTCAGGTGAGGGTCCTTCGGCCCTTTCCCCCAACCTTAGATCAACCCGCTTCAACTGGCCTCTGCAGCCTTCTCAGCCACATGTGTGCAGAGCGCCAGGCTCTGTGCTGCCTGGCGTGAGGGTGCACAGGAATCTGAGGCTGGATCTCTGGCTCATTTCCCCCTGGGAATCCCATCCTATGCTGATATCCAGGACTCCCCCATTGCTGGCAGTCCTGCAGGGCCAGCAGGAGAGGGACGGATGTCCAGAATGTCCTGGTCCCCTGGTATCTCTCTACCCACAGGACCTGGTTTCTGGGCTGGTGTTTGTTTCGCACCCGCTGTGTCCTGGGCTGTGGGTGGGGTGAAGAAGCAGGAAAGTACCCAGCTGAAGTGAGGAAATGTGGCATCTTCCTCCCAGGCTCGGGCTCTGGGGCCTACAAGGAGCCGGCCATCCTCGTGGGGCCTGAGAACCTCACCCTGACGGTGCACCAGACCGCGGTGCTTGAGTGTGTCGCCACGGGCAACCCGCGCCCCATTGTGTCCTGGAGCCGCCTGGGTGAGCCTCATCCCCACAGCCCCTGCCCCTCCCGGCCTGTCCCACCCCCTGGGAGGGCCGGTCTCAAACTCCTCACCCAGCTCCCGGGGAATTTGGAATCCTGTTTGTTCTCTCTGGGGGTCCATTCTATCCCTGTGATCTGGGAAGAGGGTAAGTTTCCCTCTCTTGGAAGGACCAGGGAGGCCCCCTTGTCCACCCCATTCTCCCTCACCCTGCAGGGATGGCTTAGCTCCCTGGGTTACCTTGTCCAATCCTGGCAATCCTCCCCTCACCCTGGCCTTGGGGACCCCAGCACCCTTCAGCAGCCCTCAGCACCCCAGAATCTGTCCCCTCCTGCTCATTCCTGTCCTCTATACCCTGGCCGTGTTCCTCAGCTGTACAGTCCCAAGCCCCTCAAAATCCCAGCCAGTTGTTAGATCCTCACTCTGGGCCCCCCAATCTCTAGCCTGGCCCCCTAAGTCCCCCAGCCTAAATCCCCAGGCAGCTGAAGGAGAGAAATGAAAGGGTGCAGATGGGCCCACATTGTCTGAGCGGAAAGGTCACTCGGGAAGGAAACTCTGGAGGGGGTGGGGTGGGGCCGCATTCACAGGGAGACTGTGCCACATTGTAGCAGCTGAGTGATGGGGAGGGAGGGGGCAGCAGGCAGGATAATGGAGTAGATTTCACCACTTCAGGGCCTGAATGGGGAGCTGTCTCCTTGTATTCTGACTGTGCTAATCTGATCCTGGTAGGGGTGGGGGAAGGGCTCGGGTCCCTGGGAGAGACTGGGAAGAGTGGCCTCACCATTAGGAGGAACCTCTAGGCACTCCAGGGACCATCTGGTCCAACATTTCCCAAAGCATGATCTGTCAAGCGAGAAGGAATGGCCTGCTGGTCTAACAAGTTTGGGAAACAAAGGTAACTGGGTCCCCCCTGTACCAGGTCACAGGGGTACCGTGATGTGACTTACCATCCAGGCATAGAATGGATATGTGACCGTGGATCCAGAGAGAAAAACCAGGCTGGGAAACGTCAATCTAATCCAGACTCCTTACTTTACAGATTGTGAAACAGAAGGGAAGGGCCTTGCAGGTGGCCCGTGAGTCAGTGGTGATGCTAGGTTCAGGACAGGGTGTCCGCTGCTAGGCGCGAGGGTTCTGTGCTGCACTCTGCTGCCTTTTCCAGTTAAGGTGCCTGGGAGGGAAGGGGCAGAGTCAAAGACTGAGGCTCCTTGGAAGACGGGAGGAAGGGTGAGCCCTCTGGAAGTTTCCTTTACTTTCCTTCTTACACATCTATATCTGACCCTCAGCCATCCCCCCTCCCCTTCCTCCCCAGATGGTCGCCCTATTGGGGTGGAGGGCATCCAGGTGCTGGGCACGGGAAACCTCATCATCTCAGACGTGACGGTCCAGCACTCCGGCGTCTACGTCTGTGCGGCCAACAGACCTGGCACCCGGGTGAGGAGAACAGCACAGGGCCGGCTGGTGGTGCAAGGTATGGATCAGCCAACCCTGGGGAGGAGGGCAGGGATCTCCGCATAGTCCCTTCCTCCCGGCCTATGCCCAACCCCAGGGCCCTGTCTCACCCCAGTCTCCTGGACTCGCCCTCGCCCTGCCCCTCACCCCTCACCAGCCCCCAGGCCAGGACAAAGGTGGTGTGTTCTCCAGTCGAATGCTTGCGTTGGGAATGGGTGGACCATCTTGGTCATGCAGCAGCCCCTGTGTGCCCTCCGGGGGCCGTCAGCGCCCCGATACCCGGGGAGTCATTTCCACTTTCTCATCTCAGCTGGTGTCCCCACCTGTGTCGCTCACACGTGTCTCCCCACGTGCTGTTTTCATTCACACGTGTGGCACGTCCATGCTCACACCTGCCTGCCTGTGCGCTCCTGGCCTGCTTGTCATTTTCACGCTGTCGCCAGCAGCCTCACTGTGCACTCAAAGCTGCCTCCCCTCCTGCAGGGCGGGGCCCTGCCACTACCAGGTCCTTTAGTTGGCCTCTGGCCATAGGGCTTAACTGTCCCCATGCACTGGGCTTGGATGAACATTTTCAGGCTTTTCCTGTGGTTGTTCCCTGCCGGAGATGAGGCGGGGGAAAGGGTGGGAAGTGGGAGAATTAGGAACTTAAATGCCCGTTTGTTTAGCATTCCATGTGCCGTTAATCTGTCCAAATGAAAGTGATGGAGCATTTCATTTCCCGGTTTTAATAGAGGCTTGAGGCCTGGGATTGGAGGAGAGCGGAATTGAATGTGGGGGCGAGGGGGCCCCCGGTACTGAGGCTCATACATCTCCCCGTCATTACTGCTTTCTGGAGGTGCAGCCAAACCTATTAGCACATTTATTTATTTAACAATTTCCTGAACAGGGAGCTCAGCTTGATTGCTTTCGGATACAAATGTCAGTCTTTTAAATAGTCATTATAAAGGAGTCCTCTTGGGTCTGCCTGGAGCGGAGGGAAGAGGGAGGTGGGCCATCTCCTGAGCTGGGCAGGAGTAGAGGCTGGGCCCCACCTGGAGGAGTCTTCAGGGGGCAGATGTGTGTTTGGAGCCCACCTCTCGCCCTGTGTATCTCTGGTCCCATCCCCTGTTCCCTTCCTCATGCCGTCACTCACAGCTGTCTCTGTCCGTACCTGCCCCACCATCCTGACCCCACTCGCAGCCCCAGCTGAGTTTGTGCAGCATCCCCAGTCCATCTCCAGGCCAGCTGGGACCACAGCCATGTTCACCTGCCAAGCCCAGGGTGAGCCGCCGCCTCACGTCACATGGCTGAAGAACGGACAGGTGCTGGGGCCGGGAGGCCACGTCAGGCTCAGGAACAACAACAGGTACGTATGTGGTGTGTGCTGGGGTGAGGACCTGGGAGAGCAAGGAAAGGGGGTCCTGGAGTGAGTGGCCTGAGTAGACTGTGCACCTCCTGCCAGGGAGAGCACAGAATTGGGAGTCTGGAGATTGGGTTGGAGTCCCAGTTCCACCACCAACTTGCTGGGAGACTTCACACAAGTCATTAGTCTCCTGGAAAGACTCAGTTTCTTCATCTCTCAAATGGGGAGATTTGGTCAACCGCCAGGGAGAAGGAGGGAACCTGAGGCTCTCTCTCTCCCCTGCAGCACACTGACCATTTCTGGAATCGGTCCTGAAGACGAGGCCATCTACCAGTGTGTGGCTGAGAATAGTGCAGGCTCATCACAGGCCAGTGCCAGGCTGACCGTACTGTGGGCTGAGGGGCTCCCTGGGCCTCCCCGCAATGTGCGGGCGGTCTCTGTGTCTTCCACTGAGGTGCGTGTGTCCTGGAGTGAACCGCTGGCCAACACCAAGGAGATCATCGGCTACGTCCTGCACATCAGGAAGGCTGCTGGTGCGCGGCCAGCTCTGCTCCCCCTTCCTCTAATTCACTATTTCTCATCCCTTCCAATCCTGCACGTCCTGACCCGATGCCTTCCTTTCCTTCTCCCCGCTGTCCCCCCGGGGCACCCTGGCTGCCCTCATTTCACCAATGCTGGCAGGACGCCCCCAGTCCTTCACACTCCCCTGCCCACCCTGTGCCTCTCCAGACCCACCGGAGCTGGAGTATCAGGAAGCAGTCAGCAAGAGCACCTTTCAGCACCTGGTCAGCGACCTGGAGCCCTCCACGGCCTACAGTTTCTACATCAAGGCCTACACACCAAGGGGGGCCAGCTCAGCCTCTGTGCCCACCCTAGCCAGCACCCTGGGTGAAGGTGAGGCCTGGGTGTGGAGCACAAACCCACAGGCACTCAGGGTATCAGAGCAGAACCACCATGCACACTTGTTCAGGTTGTGCACTGTGCTGGGTGCCCGGCCCTGAGCCTGTCAGGGCTGAGTCTACTTGGAGGAAAGGGCTTCTTTTTCTAATTCATAGGAAGGTGCTGCTTTCGTAAGCACATGCCCTGGGTCAGAGGCCAGAGGGCTGTCAGGCTTTTGGGGGTCGGGGTCACAGGTGGAAAGTAGAAAGGTAGAGCTTCTGCTGGGTCCTCACATCATGGCCTCTTTCTGTACGTGCAGCCCCTGCCCCACCCCCGCTGTCAGTGCGGGTCCTGGGCAGCTCCTCCCTGCAGCTGCTGTGGGAGCCTTGGCCCCGGCTGGCCCAGCACGAGGGCGGCTTCAAGCTGTTTTACCGCCCAGCAAGCAAGACCTCCTTCACCGGCCCCATCCTGCTGCCTGGAACTGTCTCCTCCTACAACCTCAGCCAGCTCGGTGAGGCAGACACAACCCGGGGCCTAGTGGGCTGGGCAGGGTGCGGCGCTGAGGGCCAGGAGGTGGTGTACAGGGGTCACCTCCCTTTCCCGGCTAGGACAGAGCACGTGGTGGGGCAGGAGCAGTCACTCAGCCGCCCTGCCTTCCCCCAGACCCCACTGCAGTGTACGAGGTGAAGCTGCTCGCCTACAACCAGCATGGAGACGGCAACGCCACAGTCCGCTTTGTGTCTTTGAGGGGAGCATCTGAGAGGACAGGTGAGGGCTGGGGATGGTGTGCAGGGCTGAGTGGGTGGGAAGCAGGGAAAGTAATGGGGTGAGATAGCATATGCCACGCTTGAGAGCATAGGCTTAGACTGCAGTTTGAAGCTTGGCCATGCACATGCTGGCTGTGTGACCTTGGTCAAGTTATTTAACCTCTCTGATCCCAGTTTTCTCTATAATACAGAGATAATAGTACCTACTTCACAAAGCTGTGGCAAGGATGAAATGGTCCATGCTATTCCTAGTATCTGGTAAAAAGAACCAAAAAGATTGGGCTGGAGTCCTGTAGGCAAAGTCAAAGGGTATTCCCACTCCCACTTGGGGGTGGGAGCAGCTGAAGGAAGAGGAGCCCCCAGAGGCTGGGTGTTTAGGAGTGCTTCAGACCTGGAGAGCCAAAGCCTCCAACCCATCCCTGTCCCCAGCCTTGAGCCCACCATGTGACTGCCGGAAGGAGAAGGCCGCCAACCAGACGTCCACCACAGGCATCGTCATCGGCATCCACATCGGGGTCACCTGCATCATCTTCTGTGTCCTCTTCCTCCTGTTCGGCCAAAGGGGCAGGTGGGTCCTGGGCCAGGGAGAGGGGCTGGGCTGCTGTGTGGCGGACTAGGCCTAGAGAAGGTGAGTGTGGGCTCACTGCCTCTGGCTCTCGTCTCTCTCCCTCCCCTCAACTCTTGGCTCACCCCTAGGGTCCTCTTGTGTAAGGATGTGGAAAACCAGCTGTCCCCTCCTCAGGGTCCCCGGAACCAAAGGGACCCTGGCATTCTGGCCCTAAATGGGGCGAGACGGGGAGAGCGGGGCCAGCTGGGCCGAGATGAGAAACATGTGGATATGAAGGAGCTGGAGCAGCTGTTCCCCCCGGCCGGGGCAGCAGGGCAGCCAGACCCCAGACCCACAGTGAGTGTCCATGTCTTGAACAAGCCCCCGCCTCAGGCTCTGACACTGTCACCCTCAGATCCTGCACCCCTTCACCTTGGCCACAGGCCTCAATCATTGGCCTTAGTCAAGCTGCAGGTCTTCTCTCTGTGCCCCTGAGTCAGGCAGGGAGACCTGGAGACCCTAAGCCCCAAGTGGGGTTGAGCTGGAGCCTGGCGCCCTGGCCCTCAAGCTCACACCTGTGTGACGGGCTCTTTCCCCAGCAGGATCCTGCAGCCCCTGCCCCGTGTGAGGAGACCCAGCTCTCCACGCTGCCACTTCAGGGGTGCGGCCTGATGGAGGGGAAGACAGCGGAGGCCACGGCCCCCTGCGCAGGCCTGGCGGCTGCCCCACCACCCCCAGATAGAGGCCCCGGCCTCCTCAGTGAAGGCCAGACTGCCAGGCCTACAGAGGCCTGGGTTACCCAGCCAGCTCACTCTGAACAGTAGCCAGTGTCTGGCAGGCTCCAGAGGGTGGCCGGAGAGGGGGCCCATTCTCAGGTCAAAAGCAAGATTTCTACTGTCGTGTGGGATTTGGATGGTCCTGGGGGCTCCCCAGCATTTCTGTCCTGACTGCCTCTTGGGTTGTGAAAACCCAAGGCAGCCTTGGCAGGGACCCCCCCTCGCAACACCCATCAGGAGCTGGAGCAGTTCCTGCAGGAGCCCGTTCCCTCCCTGGGCTGACGCCCCCTCGCCTCTGCCTGGCACCCACATGACTTGGAACTGAACTAACATCTTCCTTTAAAAAGCAAAACTTAAAATCAAAAAAAAAAACAAAAGGGAGAGAGATAGAGGAAGGTGAATTCGACTCCAAAAGATGACCCTGCTGTAGCTGGGCCCTGACACTGTCACCCTCCACCGACCTTGTTTTCTCAGGATGGATTTTTGCTGTTTTGGCTCTCAGCACCTACCTCAGCCGGAATGAATGTCCTGGGGGCAGTGGGGCGGTGGCCTCAGCCCTCTTTCCCCACAGAGCCCGAATGCACTCCTACCTCAAGCCCCCTTGATGGGGACCCCCTCTCCCTTCCCACACTGTTGTCCAGAGTAAAAAAAAAAAAAAAAAAAAAGCACTTCCCCATTTCCAGGTGTGAAAGAAAATGTCTACCTCAAGGCTCGCTGGCTCTGTGGGCTGTGTTGTCACTGGACCTGCCTCCCCGCCCCTCCTGCCCACAGCCCACCTGCCTCTCCCGCAGAGGGGAGGCCAGAGGTTAGGCCACCAAGGGGAACTCTCGTGGCCTATGGAAATAGAAATGGTTTGGGCAGAGAGAAAATGTGAAAGAAGCCAAAAATGAGAGGAAATTTGTTCCTTGAAGTATAAATTGTCCAAACGAGCCACCTCCCAGCACGCCGCCTGTCCCCGTCTTGTCTGTCCACTCCCATTTGAGCCAGCCCATCCTTGATGGGGATGCTCATGAGGAACCTGGGCTTGGGAGGGTGGCATCACCTGGCCGCCTGCCTCCTGTCCTGCAGGCCTGGCCCCTGGAATGTACCATGTGTGGGATGGGTGTGTGTGAGGGTGAGGGGGTGTGGGTGTCCCCCACAGAGATGCCCCAGCCTCAGGCACCCAGCCAGCCTGATCCACCCCTCGACAGGGGAGCACCCACTGTCAGCAGCCACGGCCGGAAGCTATTTTTATACAAGGTGTGTTAAGGGTTGTGTTCTTGTGACTTTTTGTTTCTCTTTTCTGTTGTATTGTTCTTTGAACTACTTAGTTAAAGAAGAAGAAAAGAAAACCAAGGAAACAAATACCTATTTTTGGTTACACTCAGAAACATTTTTTTAAATAGCAGAAGAAAAACTTTTTTTTAAAGAAAAAAAAAAAAAAAGTGTATTCCTTCAGAATGAGATTAGACCATAAAAGTCCCTGACCCCCAACCCTCTAGGGACACCCCCACCCTGAACTTTAGTTAATTAGCTGAAGAAGATAGAATTTGTGGTGTTTTCCTAGAAAACTAGAGCTGTGTCTGTGTGGACTTGGGGAAGGGTAGTCCCTTCCCTTCTCCCAAATGATGTGTGGATGCCCAGGGCTCCACAAAACTCCAAGGCAGTGCCCCCTCTGTTCCCAAAGCAGCTTCTCTCGGGAACCTCCCTCTTTCCCTTGGGAAGGGTGGGGCTGGGGGTCACCTGGCCTGACTTGGGTTTTGTCACACTCTGCTCATTTTGACTGAATAAAAGTCCTGTTGCCAAAGTGAACCTGGAGTTTTTTGGTGGCTGTGTCAGGCCCTGGGGGAGGGGCTGGAGTGCTGGGTGGACCAGAGCCCTCATAGGCCCAGAACCTGGGATAGTAGCAGCAGACCCCACACACCACAGACCTCTGCCACACGAGGCGCAGTTCCCGAGCCCTCACCCCTCCCTGTGAGGAAGACATGCTAGTGACCGTCATCTCCATTTTATTTACTTAATGTATTTTTTTGAGACAGAGTTTTTTACTCTATCGCCGAGGCTGGAGTGCAGTGGCACAATCTCAGCTCACCATGACCTCTGCCTCCCGGGTTCAAGTAATTCTCCTGCCTCAGCCTCCTGAGTAGCTGGGATTACAGGAATGCGCCACCACACCCAGCTAATTTTTTTATTTTTGGTAGAGACGAGGTTTCGCTATGTTGGCCAGGCTGGTCTCGAACTCCCGACCTCAAGCAATCCACCCATCTCAGCCTCCCAAAGTGCTGCGATTACAGGCATGAGCCACTGTGCCTGACCGGTCATCTCCATTTTATAGTTGATGAAACCAAGAAAAGAGAGGTGAAGGAAATGTCCAAAATCCCACCCAGCCAGTTGGTCAGTCTGATCCTCACAGAGGATCCGAGTTTGTATCCAGGCCAGGCCGCCAGGTTCCAGGCTCTGCATTCTGACCACCGCTCCACGCCTCCTTGGCCAGCAGCGAGGAGACTGCCTGCTCAGCCCACCAAGGTTGAGCGCTCTCCAGGTGCTGGCCAGGCCGGGCTGTGTGCTTTTCATGCACTGTCTATGAGGAAGGACTGGTTTCCTCCCAGTTCTGAAGAAAAGGAAACAGGCTGTGACTGAGTGATTCTCTCCAGGGCACTCAGCCAGGACTCCAACCAGGCCTCTCTGTTCTGCCATTGTCTCTCAGTCCAGGCTCCTGAAGCCAGGTGACTGGGGCTGCTACGGCTTAGACAGGTGCGAGAGAGGCTGGGCTTAATGGCAGTTATGCTGACAAAGATCTGGAGGTCTCAGCTGGCCTCAACTCAGTAAGAGGCAGCGGTATAATGCAGCTGCTGCTGAATTTCAAAGCCTGGGTTCACACCCAGGAGGCTCGGCAGACCTGGAGAGCCAGGTTCTAAACCCAGGGGCACCTTTCGAGAGGAACATACCAGGAGAGCAGTTGGTAAATTGGGTTCCCTGGCTATGGCTGGGATGAGGGGGAGCTCTCTGGAGGGCCTCACTCTCTCTGCCCACCCTCACCCAGACCAGCTCGATATTTTTTCCCATATTTTTTTCTGTCTTATTACATGTTGGACTTTTTTTTTTTTTTTT